ATAAAATAGTATAATTCTGAAAAAGTGGGTATTTCTGAGAATCCAATAGAAGAATATTTTATTACATAGTAGAAAATAAGTGATACATTTTAAAGAGAGACAGGGCCATTTTGTATCTTTTAAGTTTTAATAGAGAGCAGCAAAACTGGATTCACTCTCAGATAGGTGGTCACTCCTTACCATGGTATCAGAGCTGTCTCAGATATACAATAGCAGGCTCAGATTTGGTTAGAGCCAATGAATGATCCTCCTAAGAAAGACCTTAACCAGAAAGAGATTTAAAACAGTATATTAAGAAGTTTGTTTTTTTGTGTGTGTGAAAATACTGTACAGAGGGGTTGCAATTACGTGAACAAGATAATGAGTACATTTCTTATCAAGCATTGTAGCCTTCTCCTTTGTTTTTCCCCTTCCCATCCCATCCTCCCCCCACTCCCCCACCCAACCTTCCCCCCACCACCAGAGTTGTAAAGTTCGTTTTCGACATAATGACTTGTACATCTCATTGTTGCAATGGGTCCACCTGTATCCCTATTTAAACAATTTGTTTTTTCTTTCCCCTCCACAAATTATACCAACATCAAATACAGTGAAAGCAGGGATTATACCGTGGGGGAGGGACATACAAAGCAACAAAGAAATAATCTTATGTGTTAGAAACAGTGGCATGAAAGAAAAAAAGCATTTGAATACATATCTTAGGGTTCATTTCCCTAACAGAAGTTTTTTTCCTTTGTTCTATAGTGAATAAGAGCAAGAATATTTGTAAATTTGTATCATGTTTGATAGAAAGCAGATACTATATTGTATAAAGTTGAGGAATGTAAGTAAGACAGGCTCAAGTAAGGTAATGTATGTAATGATTGGTGAATTGGGAAATAACTTTAAAATTTTTGCAAATTGTCTCTGTCACACTTCTTTTGCTTCTTCTTTGTGGTTTTCTTAGGTCACTGGACCTATTTGGGCTGGGGAGAGCAGCAAAGTACGTAAGAATTTCAATTCCTTATAATTTTCTTCATGATACACTTTCATGTACTCCCTCTAGAGTCTAGGCTGTGAAGCTGGATGTTCATGTGTACAAGCATGTATAACTCCATGCTCCTCTCCTCTCCTTTCCCACTTAAATCTCAAGAGAGAATTACCTGTAGTGGAGTGATATATCCTTTCAGGCTGGATTCTTGGTGATTCTGTGTGTGTGTGTGTGTGTGTGTGTGTGTGTGTGTATAAGTGCAAGTGCAAGTATAAGAAAGAATAATTCCCTCCCCTTCAATCTTTACCTGTTGAAAACTCATACTTCTTTCAAGCCATCTCCTCTAAAAAGCTTTCCCTTCCTGCCCTGTGAAGAAGTGAGCTTATTCCTTTCAACTCATATAGGGCCTGATTTATGATATTCTTAGGCAGTAAGTTCCTTGTATCCTTGTATAACAATTCAAATATTTATGATTATATTTTTGTTCTCCTATTAGACTGACTTATGGTCTGAATATCTCATGTTGTGTAGCCTTGTGTGTATAGACATTCACTATTCAAATGAATAAATGTTCACAGTCTTGAAATTTTCTGTCTTGCAAATAGACTTTGCAGGGGCTTTTCAACTTCTCCCTTTAAATTAGCTCATTAATCCCTCTATAAACTGAATAACCAAACCTGTACTCAGCTAATTTCTTTTTCTATAAAGCCATGGGTTTAAAACCTGTATATACCTGACATGGTGTTATCGTATAGATTGTAGGGACAGTAAAAGATAGTGATACCCTAAAACAATTCTTTAATCAAGCTCCAGTGTTAACACATTTTCCTTAGTTTCCTCTTTAGTTCCTAATTACTTTTAGTAGTGCTAGGAGTTTTACTTTCTAGGAAAACTGAGGGTGGTTTGGAGAAGGAAAAAGCTGGCCTTTGACTTTCCCTACATTTCCCCCTCTCAACTTTTTCTCTCCCTTTATTTCACCTCACTTATTTTCTTTCTGATTTTTATATTCTTTCTTCTCCCAACCTCTTCTTTCCATGGATCCCTTCTTAGTATTTGTCCTTGATTTCTTCTGTACAGAAATGTTGGTAGACTTTAGGAAGGGTGTGGAATATTCCTCCCCTCATTAAACAAAATGATGAGGATGAAAATGAAGAAGAAGATGATGATAAAAAGCAGGCTCTATTTAGGACTAATAGATCAAATGCTGTGAGAAAATAATGGTCTGTCCAAGTAGTTTCTGGCTTTGGATTATGGGCTCTTAGCTCTGGCTGAGCTACTTTCTCAGTGTCATAGCCAAGAGAATGGTCTATAATTGTGGCCTCTTTGGAGACTCAATCTGGATGCTCTGATTTATGAGCTAAAACTTGTCCTGGTGAGTCTTTTTATTTTGTCTCTTTTGTTGTCTCTGCCCCCTAATCTATGTTTGTTAATAGTCTGACTTCTTCTATAGATTCAGTAAGAGTTAAGTATGAGTGTCTTATTGCTTTTGTCTCTTGATCCTTTCTTTTTGTGCTTCAGAATAAAGAGTATATCAAGGGCTATAAACATGCCCCCAAAGTCTTTTCCCTAATGTGGCAACAGAATGATTTGTAAACAGAATGCTTTGCATTCCTATTTTATGACTTTGTTTACACTCTTTCCTATACTTGCCCTAGTCAAAGGACTAGCTTCCTAGTTTCTTCTTTCTTTTTTTAAAATATATTTTTATTTTCTTTAAGTAGATGTACAAAGGAATTGCCATTCAACAGATCCTTTATGAATGCATAGTTTCTTTCTTTCCCTTTTTCTCTTTCTCTTTCCCTTTCCCTCCCTCTCTCATTCCCTCTCCCCCCCCCCTTTCTTTCATAGTACTGAAGCTTAAAGTCAGGACCTCACATTTTCTTGCTTGTCTGGCACTCCACCACTTGAGCCATGCCTCCAGCCCTGCGTTTTTCTAGTTTTTTTTTTTTGAAGACAGAGTCTCAAGGGCTTTTCTTCTCAGGCTAGTCTTGAACTACAGTCTCAGAGATCTTACCTTCTGAGTAGCGGAGATTACAGGCATGCACCACAGGCACCTGGCTGACTGTTTGCTGTAACTGGCAAGTATTGGTCCTGACCATATGAAGGTTGGCTTCTTTTTTTTTTATTGTGAAAATACTGTACAGAGGGGTTACAATTACATGGGCAAGATAATGAGTACATTTCTTATCAAGCATTGTAGCTTTCTCCTTTGTTTCCCCTTCCCATCCTCCCCCCACCCCCGCTGGGTGGCTTCTTTTTTGTGCTGATTTTTTCTTCCTGGAGTTTTGATTATATTTCTCTCCTTTTAAAAAAATATTCCCATCCTGCTATAAAATCAATAGGAAAATCCCACAAGGTCTCCTTTTTACCTTGATCTGTGTCCTCCCTTTGTTGTTATAAACTCAAAGAAGAAAGACTTAAAAGATGATCTTATTCCTATGCTTTAGCTAATCCCAACCTACAGACATTAACTGGCATCCAGTGGTCTAACATTCTTCCTTGCTTATAAAATGCACATTGTATTCTCTGTTTTAGAGGAATTACTATGAACTAGGTTGTAAACATAAAAGCCAAGGTGTCATTTCTGTCATTATCCATTTGTCTCCATTATCAATGCTCTTTGAATTGTTGTCCTTATTCTGTTCTTATCTCCCATCTGAATGATTACAAAAGTCTAATCCTACAGCCTCCAGCAGGCCTCTGTTGCCCACACTGCTACCAAGATTATCTCCTAAAATTATTAATATGAGGAGTCCAGCATCTGCTAAAGTGTTTCTCATTTGGGATGGCAAATCCTTCTTTTCCTCACTGTGAGCCAAAAAGGAACTTGGCAAGAATGGACATGTGTGACCTTGTTACTCATACACATATGGGTATAGTGTCAGATATGATTTCTCTATAAAATAGTTTACACACACTATTAGATTGAATTCCTTGTTCAAGCAGAGTCTGATTTGTAATGTTGGTCATTTTTGCTAGCATCAAAAAAACAACAACTAGGTAGTCAGGTGCTGGTCTGAGAAGCAGAAGTAATTCAGAAAATTTTTATTTACAGCTATTAAACTTGACTAAATGGAAGTGTATATGTTTTCTTCTGTAAGTTGATGCTTAGGATTGAAATTCTGGGCCCAGGGTATAGGTGCTTGATGGGAAATATTAGGAAAACCTGACATTGAAGCAATGTTCTTTGCTGCATTTAGAGTACAGTTTGGCTTGATCTTCTCTCTTCCTCTCCCCTCCTCTCTCTCTCTCTTTCTCTTTCTGTTTCTCTGTCTCTGTCTCTCTCTTATATCCATATATATATATATATATATATATATATGTATGTATGTGTGTGTGTGTGTATCTTCTGGTATTGGCCTTGACCTCAGGGCTTTGTGTTCACTCAGCTTTTTTTTCTCACAAGTAGTGCTCTACCATTTAGGCTTTATGTTCAGCCTAACTTTTTAGTGATGAAGTTTCAAAGACTTTTCCGCCTGGGCTGGGTTCAATCTTCAATCCTGTAGATGTCCTGTCAGCCTCCGGAGAAGCTAGGATTATAAATGATTTACTGGTATCCAGCTCTGGTTTGACTTTTAAGCATTGGCTATGACCTTCATGATTTCTAGTACCAGTTTCTGATGTCCTTGTAGATTAACATCTGCAAACACTAGACCAGCTCTAAATTAAGCCTTATATTTTCCTCCTCTATCTACTTCCTCCTTTTTGATAATAGTAGAGAACCAGATTTAAAAGCAAATTTTAATTAGGGTTATGATAGCTAGAGAAGCAGATCCCAAAGAATTTTGCCTTAAGGAAAATGCAACTTGGAGCTGCTCTAAGAATCAGTACTAAAATGAAACCAAGTAGACTCAGGTTATTGATCAAGGCAATTCTATAACTGGCTTTGAGGTCATTGGGCTCCTCTGCAGCTCTACCTGCTTTTGTTCTCAAACTCTGGGTTGTGGCTACCCACAACTCTGCAAGCAGATAGAGTTGTTGAAAACTAAATAAAGCTGGAGTGCTTGGATTCACTGTGCTTATTCCACAGCCTTTGAAGATCCTGATAGTGCCGTCGATGACCGAGACAGTGACTATCGCAGTGAGACCAGCAATAGCATTCCACCTCCTTACCATACAACTTCCCAGCCCAATGCTTCTGTTCATCAGTTTCATATGCCAGTTCGATTGCCACAGCAGCTACTGCTTCAGGGCAGTTCCCGGGACTCTTGCAGTGATTCTATGCAGAGTTATGACCTCTATTATCCAGAGCGACAGGCCCTCAGGTGGGTATTGAGAGCAAAGTTCTCTTCTGCTGATAAAAACTAACAAGAAGAATTTCGGTGCTTTGACTTGAGGAGGTAATGAAAGTGAGGCAGTATGATGGTCCAAGTTACACTCAGTATAGATTCTCAGCTTTTCTCCCACACATTTACATTTATACATTTCATCAAGAATACTTCATTTCATGACCAGATCAGTGGCTTTCAACTGGTGAGCACAGTATGTACCCCTGGGTATATGGCTGAAAAGACATACTCCCTTAATATCCCACCTTGCATCTAGATCAGTAATTTTGATAAATACTTTATCAAGAGTAAAACAAAACCCACTAATATTAAATGTTGGGATAACCCCTCCTATATAAATATTCCTAGGCCTTTCATAAGAGCACAGTGCTCTTATTATAGCAGATTTGGTACTTTGGATGTGACTTTATTGATTTCTTAAATATATAAAATATTTACATGGTTAAATAAATTTTTATTGTTATTAAGGAGTTGTACAAAGGTGGTTAAATAAACTTTAAATGATAATACACAGAGAATCTTCACTCATACCTGTTACCTTTTTTTTTTGCCAGTCAGTTGTGGGGCTTGAACTCTAGGCCTGGGCACTATCCCTCAACTCTTCAACTCAGGGCAAGCACTCTATCACCTGAGCCACAGAGCAACTATCTAGTGGTTAATTGGAGATAAAAGTCTCACAGGCTTTCCTGCCCACACTGACTTTGAACTGTGATCATCAGATCTCAGCCTCCTTCATAGCCTAAGGCGTGAGCCACCCGTGCCCGCCATACTTGTTACCTTTTTCTGTTGTAGTTCCTTCCTGTCTCCTACTTCCCTTCCCATTCCTAGTTCTTTTTTTTTAATCCATTGCTAGTTCTTATGTATCCTTCTGTAGACCATTGTTATATTTCTGTAAATTGAAAATATAAGCCAGGCACTTTGGCTTATACCTTTAACCCTAGCTACTGAGAATCACAGTTCAAAGCCAGCCTAGACAGGAAAGTCTGTGAGACTCTAATCTCCAATTAATCAACAAAAAGCCAGTTATGGCTCAAATGGTAGAGTATTGGCCTTGAGAGAAAAAAAAGCTCAGGCCCTGGAAAAACTATTTGACTGCATTGCTATATGTAACATTGATTAAGAATGTAGATTCTGGGCTGGGAAGGTAGCTCAGTGGTAGAGTGCTTGCCTTGCATGCCTGAGGCCCTGGGTTCAATTCCTCAGCACCACATAAGCAAAGAGAAAGCTGGAAGTGGCGCTGTGGCTCAAGTGGTAGAGCGCTAGCCTTGAGCTGAAGAGCTGAGGGACAGCGCCCAGGCCCAGAGTTCAGGCCCCATGACCAGACCTAAAAAAAAAAAAAATTTTTTTTGTCAGATTGGTGTTCTAATACTATTGATCAAGTATTTAATCTTGTAATTTACTTCTTCTTTTTTCCTGTCTCTCCTTTTTCTTTACCTTACTTTTCCTCCAATTTTAACCTCTTGCATCAGACAAGGCTTACAGGCTAAAAATGACAAAATTAGGATCATTTCAGCTTTCTCTGATAGTGACTATGAAGAACAAGCAAATGTCTACAAAGAGAGAGAAGGAAGCATATCACAAGATCTTCTAGAAAATAGTACCAGAAACTTGAAGGAAGCAGAGGTAAAAGAAATTAGAACATTTCTAAAAACTGATGAATACATCAGCCAACAAAAGCACCTAGAATACAATTGGAAAAAGACACCATCTCAGAGCCAACATACAGAATTCTCTACTGATCTTAATTTTGATCATCAGTTTGAAACAACTGCATTCTCTACATATCCTCAGAAATATAATTCAATAGATAGAAGAAAAAAGAAGCCCCCTAGTAAAAGACAGCAATATGACACGAAGACTAACTCCAAATATATATATCCTGATACTGAAAATTATGACCACATTGAAAAGAAGAAACAAAATTACCCAGCTTTGTACTCCTACAAAGATGGATTTTTGGTTAAGAGTGGTACATGGACTACCAAGAGGGAAAGTCATGATCTGCCCTGTTGCTTAAGAAACTGTGAAAAGTTACATGGCTCAAACCAGCCTAACATTAATTTTTCTCCATTAGATATTGTTGAAGATTCTACTAGCAGCACTTCTGAAGAATTCTTGTATTCCCCTATTTCTGATGAGCAGGAACATTCACTGTCTTCAACATGGGATCCATCCAGTATCCATCCTATGGAAGATTTTACTGAAGAATGTTATATGACAAATCCAACATTGCAATTACAAAGGATGAATTGTGATACAAACCCAGTTGGAGATCTGTTAAAGTGCTCAGTGGGAAAGCTAACTCCTTCTATTGAGGAACCCAAAGAAGACTATGTTGACACAATGGATGAGCTTCAGTGTTTGGTAGAAACTGTGTCAGAATATTTAGCAGAGAAGGAAGAAGAGATCAATAGATTTGGTTCTCTTCCCAAAACTAAAAAAACACACAAATGCAATAATACTGTTGATAATTCAGAACAGAAGATGCTTGGTGATCAAATACCACCTCTAACTAATATAAAGAATGACAGAGACAAAGCCATTTCTTTCTCTGAGCTGAGTGGAGTAAAAAATGCTGTTGGGTCTTTATTTAATTCACTAACAGAAAAGGTGGGGTCAGGCACAAAGCATTTATCAACTTCTGTGGAGAAACTGGTTTATTTAGTTCCAGAAAAAATAGAAACTCTTAATCAAACAGAGACAATTAATTTAGGATCGAAACCCAGTAATAAGTCAGAAGTAGAGAAGGATCTATCCATTCAACCTTCATTTTCCTTTCCAACAATTGATAATAAGGATACTAGCAGAAATGGCAAAACCTTAGAAAAAGAGCACACAAGCACCAAGAGTGAGAGTTTAAACTTCCAGGATGTAACAGAGACTACTAGAAGGGATTCAGTACCACAAAGTCAGAGTTCAGTTATAAAGTCTGTTTTCAGCATGTTAAATCCACTAAAGATCTTTTCAGAGAAAGAAGAGACCAAAAAAGAAGACCAGAGTAAGACAGCGAGGAAAGAAAGTTTTGTTGGTTTGGAATCAAATCAAATGGAAGCTATATCTGTCAATCACAGTAGTAGCTTTGGTGCTTTATGTAAGATTGATGAAACCCCAGGTTTCCAAATACAACCAACTAAAGATTTATTGTCCTCCCATGTTGCCAATGAACCTTCGAACATAGCAAGTTGTACAAGTAAGAAAGATAATATTGAGAGTTTGTTGGAAGGAAAAACCCCTGTAGATTTGTCTCTGTTGCCAGATCAATCAATAACATGTGCTAAAGACAATCCAGGACATATTTGTATAGCCAGCAGTAGAACTGCAAATGAAGAGGCTACTTCAGAGCCATCAGAAGAGGACAAAGTTACTGGTGATGATGATTTCCTTGAACCACTCAGAAAATCATTTAGCCATTTTTTGTTCACATCTCCTGAGACCTGTTCAAAGGAAACTTTGTCAGAGCCTGTGAAAACTCACCAGTTGGAGGAAGATGGAAGGGAAAAAAGCCCTCAGAAAGATAGTAATTCCTTTTCATTTAGTGGAAAACTAAATATCCCATTTTTCAGAGTTCTTAGTCATTCTGAAAAGCAGCAGGATTTACGAGAAAAAGGAAGCATTTTTCCTTTGTTTAAGTTTCCTTTTACTGACAGTCATAGCACTGATAATGAACAGAGTTTGCATGGTTCAGCAGCAACCACTAACAAAGAGATCCAAAGAAATTGCCATGAAGATGCTATACTTAGTTCAATAAAATCGAATTCAGTTCCAAATCATCTAGGGGAACTGGGTAGTACAGAAGAATTTAATAACATCCAGATAAATTATCCGGAAGATGTCAAACTTAGTAAAATGAAGTGGAGTTCAGTTCCAAATATTTATAAAGATCCGGAGAAATTCAGCAGTTCAGAGGAATTAAGTAAGAATGACCAAATGCCCTGTCCTGAAGATGCCAAACTTAATATAATGAAGTCTGATTCAGCCCCTAATATTAATGATTTTGAGAAGCCTAGGACTATAGAAACATTAAATCCAAATGACCCTATAGCAGTAGAGAATGATGAAAGTACTATCTCTGGAGTTGTGCCCAAAGAACATAGAACCTCAGATCTTTCAGAAGAGCTGAAGGATTTTGCACAAGTGACATTTTCAGTAGCATCAGACTTTTCATTAGAGTTTATTTCAACCACCTCAAAATCTACTAGAGTTAATGAAGACAAAGTTGAGGATAAAACTTCCAAGAAAATCACACAAGGAGGTTTCTTTTCTGGTTTGCTTAATAGGTTTTCTTCTGAGAACTTACCTACTCAACAAGAATTAAATATGACAAATGATGACTCCAGTCACAAGAGTGGTACCTCAAGTTTATTCTCTGGAATATTTAACTTTATATCAAATAGCAATATGAGTGATTATAAGCCAAATGAAATAAAGGTTGTTTCTTTAGACAGTATAAAAAGTTTGGATGGAAATAAGCATTTATCCTTGGATGAGGTCTCTACTGCCTCATGTGTGACTATTGAAAATCTGAGGAACCAGGTTGAAAACCATAAAACTTCTGGTTTCCTAGGAAGCATTTCATTATCTAAAGAAAACACACCATCATCTGATAATTGGCTCCATAATCATCATTGCTCTCCAGCATGGAAAAGCCAGCAAGATGAAAAGCAGTGTTCCTCTTCAGAGAATGCAGTATTTCATTGTGCTCCCAGTTCTGAACCATCTTTCTCAGAGAATTCTTTGGCTAAGAGGCCAACACTAGACCATGTTCTTCAAGAAAAACCACACGAAAGTTCAAATATGTTAAATTTACATGCACTAGACACTAGCACTTTAAATAAGCCAAACCACTGTCAGGCGGCTTTTGAAGAGATGAACAGTTCTTTATGTTTTGAATGGGACTGTAATACAAAAGATTTTTCTAAAAATTCCAGAAAACTCCAACCAGTTTATCATACATTGAATCAAAATACATTTCCATC